CAAAAAACCACAGGAACCTATTAAGTGTTCATATGAAGACCTACTGAGTTTGTAATACTGTCTTGATGAAAGTAGATTGCCTCTAATTTTTAAAGAAAGTGACCAACTCAGCCAGGCACTGGTGGATGATGTCTGTAATTCTACCTGCTCAGGAGGCTAAGATATGAGAATCAGTTTAAAGCCAGCTGGGAAGGGAAGTCCATGATATTCTCATCTCTAGTTAACCAACCAAAAAAGCCAAAAATAGAGCTATGGCTCAAGTGGTAAAGCTCTAGCCTTGAGGGAAAAAGCGAAGGGACATGAATTCGCCCTAGTACTGGCACAAAAGAAAAAAACATAAAAACAAAAGAAGCTATTAACAAGAATATAATGTTAAGAATAATAGGAGCCAGGTGGTGGTGGCTCACACCTGTAATCCTCACTACTCAGGTGGTTGAGATTTGAGGACTGCAGTTTGAAGCAAGTCCAAGCAGGCAAACCTGTGAGACTCTAATCTGTAATTAACAACCAGAAAACTGGAAGTGGAGCTGTGGCTCAAAGTGGTGGAGTGCTAGACTTGAGCGAAAAAAGCTTAGAGATAGTACCTAGGCTCTGAGTTCCAGCCCCACTACCAAAAAAAAAAAAAAAAAAGTGTCAGGGAAATAGATATTTCATAGCATTAAGATCCTGGCCTTCCTATGCAGAAAACTAAAAGTAGATCCCTGCTTGTCACCATGCACTAATATCAATTCAAAGTAGATCAAATACCTCAAAATCAGACCCAAAACTTTGAAACTACTTAAAGAGAGAGAGTAGCAGGAATATTTGGACTTATAGGTATAGGCAGAAACTTCTAGAATCGAGTCCCAGGAGCACAACAGATAGGAGAGAGACTTGACAAGTGGAATTACATAAAAATAAAAAGGACATAGTTACTAAGGACATAATTACTAAGTAGCTAAGGACATAATTACTAAAAAGACAGCCAACCAACTGGGAAAAGATCTTTACCAGCAATACATCAGACAAAGGTCTAATATCCAATATATTCAAACTGCTCAAGAAACTAATCCCTCCCAAACTTAAAAAAATTATCACTAAATGGGCAAGGGAGCTAAGGAAGGACTTTTCAGAACAGGTAAGAATGGCAATGAAACACATGAGGAAGCCAGGCACTGGTGGCTCACGCCTGTAATCCTAGCTACCCAGGAGGCTCAGATCTGAGGATCGCAGTGCAAAATCAGCCCAGGCAGGAAAGTCTGTGAGACTCTTATCTCCAATAAACCACTAGAAAACTGGAAGTGGCACTGTGGCTCAAGT